ATGAAGCCTGCAACCGCTTCCGGCACAGGGTCAGACATGGTTGCATCTGACTGGAGAGGAGTTGCGGTCACCTCCGAATTGACCAAAGCCATGTAGGAGGCACTGGTCTTGTTAAGTGCTGTCTGTTCTTGCTCAATCTTGGTCTGAATGGCTTTCATCTCATCCAGGAGTTCCTGATAGGCTCGTTTGGTGGCATCGATCTTGCCCTGGAGGTTGTGTTTCTTGTGTGACAAATCCTTCAAGGCAGTGACTTGCTGCTTGAGCCTTCCCGCTACTTCACGTTCAGAGGCGGGAGGTGGGGTCGTGATCTTCTCCACCAATTCCCGTACCGGAGTGGGAAGCTTGGTCAGGTTCTCCTTCAAGACATCCTGTAGGTCAGGTTCTTTGGGTTTGACCTCCGGGGAGATGCCCAAATCAGTCAACTTCCCTCTCAGCTGCTCGTCAAGGGTTGACCATATGGGTGCCAAAAGTTCAGTGGCATTCTTCTGGATCATAGAGGGTTTTTGAAACCGTGTTCTTGCAAGTCCTGGAGGTGGAGAAGGCCGTCGATGTGGTGCTCTTTCCCATCTGGAGTTGCGTTTGTCGAGCTTCTTGGCATATCCACCTGGAGGCTTCGGCCATTCATTGCCACAGTGCCTGCACGAAAAAACCTTGTTGGACTCGATCACACCAAATCCAGTTCCTGCATCCATGAGCTTGGCAGCATTGATAGGGTCTATATCTCGCTGTCTCCATGTAGAAATCGCAGAGGCCACCGTGGAAGGAGACGAAAGCGAGGTGGAAGAGGACGCGAAGAGCCCAGCGATGCCACCAGAGAAGCTTGAGCCAGACAGCTTGAGCCATGCATAGGTGTACACCCACATACTATATATATATATATACACCTAATGATATATATATATATATATCCATCGAGGCAAACAGCAGAGTAATTAGGTGAAACATAAAAAACTCTGAAGAAGACTAAAGTAACTAATTGAAGGTATAACCACTGCCTCCAAGATATGAAGATTAGTTTGTGAATTGCGAGGCTATTCCAAAGTACGACATCTGAAAGATACACCAAAAGAGTCCGGGGTTGGTAGGTGTGCCATGTTGAGGTAGGAAATGCCAGTCTGACCATGGCTGAAAAATGGAGAAAGTGATATATACTCTAGTTTTGTTACCAGGCCGTCGAAATGTTAATTTTCAGACTTCAGGCCCAAACCACTAAAGCTCTTCTTGGTGAGACCTTTTTGCACCTAGGGATCGGTACCTTCTCAGGTTCGGTACGAGTGAGTGGACCCTCCAAACCTACAGTGTCGAACACAACAGCGTGCCGGAGAAGGTACAACTGGATCCCGTTGGGAGTGATATGGAATGAATCATATTCTCGTTGGACTGGTTGGACCTTGTCAGAAGCTGATATGTCAACAGCCCCTTAGGTTGATCAAACATGTCTCACTCAAAGAGGTTTGGTCAGGAGGCTTCACTCGAGGAGCGCATGACGGCATACGCTTGCCGGCGTAGCCCCTCTGTCGTATGCTTTGGCCGAGGGCAAATCTTGATCCATTCCTCCAAATAGGAAACTGTACCTAGTTAGCTGTGATCACCACCTCAGCCAGACACGGAAGGGAATAAGAGCAGTATGGAACAGCGATGGACTGTTTCTTGTTGCGGGGGACGTTTCCCTAAACCAGTGCAACTGATGAGACGTTTGACGTCTGTCAATCCGTTTTTGCAAACATAGCCACCAGCTCGCCGGTGAAACTGGTGAGACACACACACATAGCCAGCTACCGGACGGGCAACATGGGCATCCAAACTCGTTGAACGACGGGGATCCCAGCAACCGACCGACCGATCTGATACTGGCGCCAACGAGGCCTGATTATTTGAAGTCTGCCAGCGAGAGTGGGAAAATTATGCTGGCCATCACAGGCGGGGTTTTCAATGGTTTGAATTTGTGTGGGGTGAGCAGGTGTTCTTTTTTCTTCCATCTTCCTTGTTGAAGGGAGGTGCTCTAAGGTACTGTATCTTGTGCAAACCCTTGTCGTAGTCCTTCCTAAGGTGCGGAGCAAAGGTCAAAGGTCCCACCGGGTCAAAGGCCCCACCTAAGCTGCTCAAATGCAAGGTTTTCCCAGCGAAGCATACCCTGGCTGGGGATTCAGTTATACCATCCAAGCCTACATAAATAGTCTCCAATCACCTTGAATCCCCTAGGGATCGTTGTGTTCATGCCGTGGTGGTGGGGCACATGCCAGCGCCGGTCCGGCCAGTCCGTCGATCCACACCTCCGACCACGGACGGTGTGAACCTCCAGGAGCCTCGGGCGTCGGGAAGTCATCCTTGGTCAATGCTCTACGAAGGGTGAAGGACACCGACGCGGACGCGGCAGAGACCGGCGTGAAGGAAACCACCACGGAACCCACGATGTACAGCTCCTAGGTCCTAGACGCAGCGCAGATAGAGACCGTGCCAGTGCCAACACGTGGCGGTTACGAAAGTCGGGTAGGGTGACTGAAGATGCGACTTCAGCTTTTTTGTGCGGATTTTGGTTGACATTGAGATGGATGAAACAGATTGAAAGCAGGTTAGTTTGGGTTTGACGGATGTTTGAATCGAATATGTTGAATTTTTCTAGATATGTCTAGAATTGTCTAGATATAGATAGATAGATAGACACACACACACACACGCACACACACATTAATATATACAAATTATACTATACTTTGGTGGTAGCGGAACATTTGAGGAAGACTTACATACGCAACCAACAGCCGCATGGTATGATCCAGCATTCGTGCTCTTCCACCTTCCACATGTGCATCCCATCCTGAGGCTTTCGCCCGAAGGAGGGCCTCTTTGAGCAACGCTTCTACCAGGCCCAGAGAGGAGTGAGATCGAGTGAGGGAAGAGGAGAAGGGTGGTTAGGGCAAGTCCCTCAGCACTGACTCAACTCGCTGCTAGTCCAGGTGCTAAGACCCTGCTGCGACCCGCCTCGCCCACCCACCCGGACCAACGGCCATGATCCGTACATCCAACGGCCTAAGACCGACCCGAAGGGGGTCTGAAGGGGATCGATCGAAAGGCCAAACAGGGAGGTGGCGATCGGAGAGCGCGGACGGTTTGGTTTTTGTTGGGTCAAGACGACAAGAAGGGAATCAATTCGGAAGGCTACATCGGAGGGTCCCAATTCTGGCAGAAGCCGCCGCTATATCGGTGGCATTGGAGCTCCGTCTTTGGGCTCTGGTGTGCAATCCCAGGCCAACCAATGCCGAGCCAGATGAATTCCATCATTTATACACTTGGTCAAACAGTGGCTGCCACGGCTGGGAGATTCTTTCCTCAGACCAGAGGTCGCCGCGACCCACCTCGTCCCCCTTCCAGTCTTTCCAGGCTGTTCGACCGCTCGATCGCACAGGCGCTCGAACCGCGGCTTCGCCCCGCCGCGTCTGACGCGCTGGTTGAGGCGCGGCCGGAGGACTTGGAGCTGGAGGTGGGTGTCCAGGTGGTCCTGGGCAATGTGGCCTATGTGGAGGACGGCACCGTGGCCGAGGTGCTGAAGACCTGCGGGCACGAGACACCTGACCAGATGGGAGGTAGTGTAGGCTGCGTGGGGGGGGGTGCGGCTTAATGTGAGAATGTGAGAGGGAGGTAACGCTGATGGATTGATGGGTGAGAAATGTGGTGAGATCATGTGAGATCACGGTTGGCATAGCAGAATTACTTATTGCTCACTGGTCTCATAGTCATAGACATGCAGTGATTGTTTTTTGGGGGAGGATGTCAGTCTAGACGATGTACTCATATGGGATGTGGAAAACCAATTTTCATCAATTTTCCTTTGCAGGCCGTACAAGTTGTTGGGGGCAGGATGTCATCATGCCTCCCTCAGACGGATCATTAAAACGGAACAGTGTCTTTTGTAGAGCAAGTGGTGGGTCATGTTCCACCAAACCCTCCATCCGGATCTCATCAATTTTGAGGACCTTACAGTCTGCAGGAGACTGGTTTTGGGTGAGTCTATGGGTGGGCGAAGTTCTTAAACTCCAAGACTCGATTGCTTGGAGGGAGCCATGCCGCACTCATACCCTTCCTAGCCAACAGCCTTCATCGTGAAAAAAACCGGTGTGTGTTGGGGGGGAGGACAGGTCCGGTCCGGACAAATCCGGTCCTGGGAGCTTGTTGGACTTGTCGAGGTTCCGTGGTCAGCTTCGCCCGTTCTCAGGAAGTGGGAGGTGCGGCTTGAGACTGGCTCGGTGATTCAAGTGGACAGCTCCAAGGCGGCCGGTGGAGCGGCTCCGCCAGACGTTGGGCGTGGAAGTCCTGGGTGGTTCAAGTGCCTTTTTAAAGCGCCCAAGTGAACAAAGGCCACCAGGCAGGCAGAGAATTCAGGCATGCGGTATACGTCAAAAAACTTCAAAACACATATTATCCTATATACGCCAGCAGCAGGCGCAGAGAGACCACACACACACACATATATATATATATATTTCTATACACACACTTGAAGCCGTTTACAACCCACATGTTTTTACCCGGTCCATGGACCATGGGCCATCCAGCGGCTGGCGGGACCGCGTCACACGACCGCGTGTGACGCGGGAGCGGGACTGAGGACTCATCCTAACCAGAAAACCCACTGTCCAAAGTAATTGGCACCGTCATCGCCCGCAGTAATGAATGCAGACTCATTGATAGACATAAACACTCTCATCGACTTCCGGAAAGAGGTTTTACAATCCAAGTAGTACGGGGAGTTATGGATTCAACTTCATCAAGAGTCTATATACCTTAGGGGCCATTGGGTTCAGAGAGTTTATTCATCCAGATCGAGTCTAATAATAATTCGGGGGCCAGGAATGGCCTTCATCCCCGACATGTCACCCCTCCGTTTGTCGCGCTTTTTCGCGTCGCGCGCGTAGGTGGTGGGGCTGCCCTTGGACGTGGTGATCTGGGACCTTCCAGGCGCCGGGACCCCGAACTTCCCGCAGGCCACCTACCTGAAGCGCATGGGGATTCGTGACTTGGCCGCCTTGGGGGGCCCAGGGCCTTGGCTTTAGAAAACATAACAGAGATCTCCAAGCTGGAGACCGGGACTCTCATCCCAGAAAACAGTTTTTTTTTTGCAATGTAGCGCCAGCTTGAGGTCCTTCACATGATGAATCATAGGAAGTGGGGACAGTGGGGACACATCCTTTTGTTTTGGGATGCTTTTGGCTGATTGGGTCTCCGGGAACTTGAGTGGCAGAAGTCTTTTGTTGCACTGAAGGCTGAGTTGAAGCTGGGCTGCTGCTTCAGTCGCTGTTAGGGGGGGACCGCTTCGGCCGAACTGACTCGCAGTGCAGAAAGCCGATTCGTGGACGTGGCATGAGGGGCAGTGTCCCCAACACCCAGATGGGTCGGATCGACCGTTTGTGGACGCCTTCGACACGCCGTCGCATCAGCTGGCGATGGGAACATGGATTCCAATGAACAGAAGTCCCCTGCCCCTCCCCCCCGTGGCAGGGATGAGGCATGAAAACACCAACCCATCTGCTTTCGTGTGGCATCACAAAAACTCCAAAACGCGTTCGTGGCGCGAGAAGGCTACTTCGACCGAGGCTACTTCGATGTGGCCTTGCTGGTGACCTCGAGCCGTTTCACCGAGGCTGAGTTAATGCTCTCACGGGAGCTGGAGAAGTTCCAGGTACGCTGAATTCGTCGGGTGATGGGGTATGTGACGAAAAGGAAAGGGGAAGAATTGGAGGGCTTTCCAGAGAGAGAGAGAGAGAGAGCGAGACAAAACAAATCCATAGATCCACATGTCATTGTGGAGGAGCATGCACATATCTCGCTGATGTTTCCCAGCTGCATCTGAAGAGAGAGAACCAAGGACTACACATGGATAAATCTAAACTGGACTTACCCCCCCCGCCCTCACCCTTTTACAGTTTACCTTCCAGAACCTATTGATGACTTTACTCCCCCTCCGTGCTCTGCCCAAAGTTCCCCACCCCCAACCTGGGCCTTGAGGTCTTCCTCTTCACTCTTTGCCTTGGGCCGTGCGCGTCCTTCTTTCGCCGTCCGGACCGTGGCTTCACCGGAGTGCCGGGCCAGCCGTTTCACCGTCGCAGGTGCCGTACTTCATGGTGAGAAACAAGGCGCGCTTCGTTCCGCGACGCGTCGCCCGCGCGACTCGGACCGCGTTCCGCGACACTGTGGTGGATCGGGGGCGACGAGTTTTGGACATTTGCGGACATCGTGTGGGGCCGAAGGCGCCTGGAAGAGCTGTGGTGGAACCTGTTGGGAAACTCGGGCACTTGGCATGAGCGAACTGAGGAGTTCACCATGATCGAGTTGTAGACAAGGTTTTAGTTTTCTATGGTACTATGGTACTAATTAATTTGAGCTCATTCACCCTCCCTCCCTCCCTCCCTCCCGCCCTCCCTCCCTCCCTCACTCACTCACTCACTCCCTCCCTCCCTGTCTCTTCATAAACGGTCCTGAGACTCTGTTCTGGGCATCATGGATGACATGCATCTGACATCATCTGACGCTCTTCTTGGGCGATATCTTTGATGCCTTCCAATCGTTTGCATTTACTACTCGCTAATGAAGTGGGCCCAAGCTTGTGGCCAGGTGGATGTGGACATTGACTCGGAGATTGTGACTTGGATGGAGAGATTGACGTGGCTTGGGTTCTGTCAAAAGGCATTAGCGTGTGAGAGAGAGAGAGAGTGAGGTCACTTCGAGGTTCGATTCATACGGTTGCGGGCCCCCCTGCACCACCACACAATTCAGGAGAAAAGTGAAAGGAAGAAAGAAGCAAATGCATTGGTTTCAGAAAGATGAGAACACCCCAAAACAAGATATGCTCCATGGATTCCAAGATGCCAATCTAGAACAGGGTTTCTTTATCCAGTCCTTTTTTACGCTTACCCTTTTCGTTTTCCCACTTGTTTATTCTTTTTTTGGGGGGGGTGGCTCACGAGCTAACGAGTGCTTGTCACAGCCAGGTGAAGGAGGAGGAGGCTCACGATGACGAGGAGCTTAGTAAGCAGCAGAAACTCGAGGTGGCCACGCAGACCATCGAATGCATCAAGGCGGGCACCGGACCAAACCTCCCGGACCCCATCGAAGCCCGAAGGACCCATGGACCCATGGACCGGGGACCTGGATCCAGGTGGTGGGTCTACTCGTGGATGGGGGTGGGATGGAAAGCATGTTTTTTTTTCGTCCCAGCTGGGTGGGAAACCAAGGGAAAAACATTAAGGGATCGGCAGAACCAAGCAGTGGGCAGAACAGTAGTCTGATGCTTTTTCAGTTAGTGACTGGAACGTGAGGCTCTTGGCTTGGTATGTTTGGGCACCATTAGCTGCACGATCGCTGCGCGAACTAGCTGGTTCTTGGGAGAGGTTTTGAAGCTGGGAGCCGAATTTGCGATGGATTCCGCCGGTGGTCGAGGTTGGTGGAAACTCTGACAGGGGACGTGACCGAGGTTGGTGGAAGATTGAGAGCACCAGCCTGAGAACCTGAACAATATCTCTGAACTCAGAAATTATTGTCGGACTATGCTCGGTATATCTCCGTAATTCTCAGTAGAACGTCTCTCAGTATTCATTGGCAGACTCTTCATTATCACAAAAGCCATGCTCGGCAGTCATGTGCAGGCTCTTAGCAGCACCCACCGTTTGCACTTGTTATTGATTTGGTGTGTTTCCCATGTTTCCCCATGCCCCCGTGGCCCACCTAACAATCCTGTAACACCTTCACACATCCCACATCAAGTCTAGTGAAATGAGCTGCCCAAAGAGTCAAACAGTCTCATGTGACTCATGTCTATTCTATCCGAGCCCTTGTTGGCCCTGGTTGGACCCTGCCATTTTCGTTTCTTTACTGTGGCGCCATAGCGACCACCACGCTGGCGAAAACGGCCGGAGGACTACTTCCAGATCGAGTACGGCCTAGATCAAGTCTATTGTGTTTCAGCCCGGAGGAAGCTTCGGAAGGCGCATGACTTTCCCAGTCTCGAACGAGATATCTTAGACGCGGTCCGCGTGCAGCGTGGCTACTGACGAGACGAGACGTCTCGCTTCAGAAGCCGCGCGGCCGAGACGAGACCTCCGCGTCCGGGCGGAGAAAAGGGACGCCGGGCACGGTGGGCCGTGGGAAGCACCCGGGGGGGGAGGGAGGATGGTGGCGGTGGCGAAAGTGCCATCCTATGGGGTGAGAAGGGAGATCCATGGGTGGTGGTGGGTGAGATGAGCGACTCCAAACCCGGGTTCCCGGGTTGGTGTCCAATAGTCATCCATAGTCCACGGCGGTGGCACTGGGGCAAAAGGGGATGGCCTTTTGGCTATTTTCTGTTGGTTTCTTTGGTTTCGCAGAGGGGATCCTGCACCCCCCAAGCGAAGAAGCAATAAGAGCTATGGCAACCGGCATGGACTATAGACTCTATAGTGATTCCTGACAGGACATGGCTCCCCGCCCTAGTTCGGACCACCTGTGAGAGGAGTTGAAGAGGGCTGCAGCGCCTCTGTGTCGACCGAAACCTCCCGAGTCGACCGCTTTCGCGCTTCAGGCCCACCAACGTGGGTCCCGTCCCACCTCCGAAGCATCAGGAATCAATCCCTTCCGGAGCTTCGTTCTGCCCCCCCCAAAAGAAACCCATGGGATCACGTCTGCCAAAAACAAAGGAGTCTAGGATGTCCAAAGGGCCAACCGAGAGAGAAGCCTCCCAATCGGTTCTTGTTTGGGACGATTTCCACTTCATAGTTGAGTAGGCAATGAGGGCGGTTTCAGGAAGTTAGACTCCTGCAATGGAGTCTTCTTTGGATCCAACTACCCGTCCCGCCACGTGCCTCTCCCTTCATCTCCAGTCCCCCCAAGTGTCTCTCCGCCCGCCTGGGGGCCCTGACACGTCAGCTAAACGGACCGTCTTCGCTCGCGTGGGGAGAAGGCACATTGAAATTGGAGGAGCCCGGGGCGCTGGGAGGCCCAGAGAGTCGTGGCAAATGGGCCCAGGCTGCTTTGCCTGACAATCCCTGACATCTCTTTAAGGTTTTACACACATATACAGTACCTAAGAACAAGTCTAAAGTTGTGATCTGCGTTAGTGTCCCAAAAGTCATCTATATACTACTCTGAGACATGTTTTGATCTTCTTTGGAGCCGGGGAAGGCCCGACATGTGAGCGTACACAGCCTCCGTATTCCCAGCGCTTCTGGGAACCACGAGCCTCGCAGAATCATGTCCTGTAGGGAGTGGCCGATTCAGACTGGAGACACCTGAAACATGTTTAACCACGGGTTGTAGTGGGAGCCCCTAGCTAGAGATCCTGAACCATGTATATAACAATGTATCTAAACATGCTGTTAGATTTCGGTCCAGACAAGGCCAGTTCAGAATAAGCAACATCCAAAACGTCAAGGACAAACGTCAGGCACCTGGTCTGGCATATGTACTGCAAGCAGTTCTCCTTCAAAGGCCAAAAACAATTCACTTGCTCGGTTTGCAAGCATAGATCATCATAGAATCACGTTTAAATTGTAGCGCTTTCACACACCAAGCTCTTGTGGATGGCCCTCCCCCCCCTCTTGGACGCATGGAACGTATGGATTTCCCCTTGTCTCGTTTTGGACGCCGTGGGTGGCGCGCCGAGGTTTGCTTAAGAGCGTGGAGGGGCGGCGGGTCCGCGTGGCGCCTCGTGGACGGACATGGACGGCTGTGATGCAGATCGGTCAGGTTTTCCTCAACCTTCCACATAGCGAGCCACGGTCCCCCCAACATCTCGGGTTTTTGGACTCATTATATTGCATTATATTGCATTCATATGTGGGACATGTGGACTGCCACGGTGTGCAGGTTGACCTAGATTCACGGGTTGTTGCAGGACATCATGACGCAATTGAGTTTTCAGGATGATGTGTTTCTCACTGTTCAGCTTGGCCACCGTTGCGTGTTTGCTCATTTTGGTGATGAACATGCATCTAGAATCTAGGGTTGGTATGTTCCAAGCTGTGGTTTTGCCACAACTCCTTCCTCAGCACCACCTCCCATTCTGCCAATCCTCCAACCACCTTCACATGTTGACAAGGCTCGAGCAGCGACGACACGTGTGAGCGCCATGCTCTGTTTGAGTAGGGTATCGGTCGTCAATGGGGATGCAGACTCCTTGGGCTGGCAGAATCTGGAAGACATCCCCCTACTGGTAGACATTCTTAGACTCAGAATTCAGAAGTGGCTGTTTTCTTGCAGAAGGGAAATCTTTGGTTTCGAGTCTTGGAAGATCTGGAGGGTCGGCCCAACCCGGTGCACCGGGGAGTTGGCTCTGGAGCCAAGTACCTGAAATGGGACACCTAAAATGTTCGGCTACTGTCATTAAGTATCTAATTCTATAAGTCAAAAGTTTTGGGACTCCTGTATTTGGAGCCGATGCCACGCCCGAGAGTCAAAGCCTCTTCCAGCTTTGCTCAGCCTCTTCAAGTGCTCGAAGATGTGGTGAAAGTGTGACCTGCGGTCCTTAGAGCTCGAGAAAAACATGGACAAAGAACCCCAACAAAGCTTGGATCGTTGGATATCGTTGGATGCGGATCGTTTCGAAAAGCAGTAACAGGCCACCTTGAGGACTTGGGCTGAGCATCGATTTTATCCATTCCATTGTCCCTTGGATGGGATTTGGAGCTTCAACATGTCAGAAGATAAGCTTTTTCACTCAGAGGGACCCTCACTTCTGGTCTTCTGAGATGCTGAGGCCTGTTCTGAGTTCAGAACTCTGCATCCCTGCAACTCACATTCTTGACCACCCACTTGGGCGAACTTCAGCGGACTTGTGAGGATGCAGAGTTGCTCTGGTTCCCTTTTAGGGGAGCCCTTTCAATAAAAAGACACAGGACACGAACCATGTGGATCCTTGCAGATCATCCGGACGGCCACCAGAATCGGCACTTGAGACCAAGTGGACCGAGCCTGATGGCTGCGGCAATTCGTCCGCCTTCGTGGCGGCCCGTCCGCCTTCAGCCTGGGGGATGACACCAAGTGCATCCTGGGGCGACCGCGGAACCGATGCAAAAGGGAAACCGAATGCGTGGAGCGGGGCGGCGTGGCGAGCCCAGTGTTTGGGCCTTGACGAGGCCCCAGAAAGGTCAAAGATAGTTTGGAGACTACTTAAGACTTGAAAGTCATCGGAAGTCATAGGACAGTTAGGACAGAATTGACAGAATCTCGCTTTTAGCTTAAGCGCTGTCTTGGACTCCGAGGGTATGCTTTCTTGTTTGCACTTGGCAGGGGCGGCACACAGTCTCCGCTCCTGCCGACGTCCGAGTGGCGTCATGCGGCGTGCTGCGCGGAACGGAGATCGACCCTCGATAGAACCATTTTGATCCATTTTGGAGTAAAGCACATATTTTTTAAACAAGAACAACGAGGTTCCGAGGGTAGTTCATTAATCAAGAGTCTGCAGAATTCTGCAGAGATTGGGTGAGTTGTGAAGATCTCAGTGAACCAAGTGACCTGTGCGTCAGTGCTTGAAGGACTGCTACCTTTGCGACTGCCACGTTCCAGGCTCGACCGAAGACGATGTGCCATGATTGGCCACCCACCCGTTCATGCGCATGGGGGGCCGCAGTGGCACGGCAACAAGTTTGAAGATGTTCGCAGTTCGAAGCCTTCGCGGGCCAAGGCAGGAAAACAGATGAAAACATGCCAAGGCCAGCGATATTCGTTTGGCATCCATGCAGAGGTCTATATAGATTTTGTGGCTGCAGTGTTGATATGAGGAACGCTGGAACGCTGATCACATGGGTCACCAGAACTTGTGGCCTGCATGCCTTGCAAGTTCGCTGGCATGAGCCCCCCCTTGACCACTGGATGATCCATTTGGGGCGACCAAAGAGTCCGACTGGACCGTTTCTTCCACCCAACCCCTCACCTCGTGCTTTCGCGGCGTCGTGTCTCATGTGCGATGGGCGAAGTGCTGTTGAGATCTCACCTGCAGGTGCCTGGGCATGTGCGATGGGGCATGGAAGCTGGACGAGTGCCGAAGATCGGTTTCAGAAAAGGTCAATTCTCCTGACTAGAGGTGTCACATCCATTTTCAGGGCCTATGAAGTGACAGATCTTCTTTAGATTTCCAGCTTCGGACCTATTTCTCGATCCCACAGGCCTTTCCCGGCCACAAGGGCGGCATCTATAGGCTATAGCCATATCCCATAGTACCCCGTCGATAGCTCGCGCGTGAGTCGTCCCACCCGGGCGAAAAACGGCCTCAATGGGGACGAGTCCGGCGGTCTCCCGGAGGCGCTACGGTCCCGAGAGATCAAGGCTTTACAACGTCTCCAGCTGGAGGAGCTGCTGAAAAGAGCATGGGGGGGGGGTTCCTTCAGCTCGAAGGGTGGTCCTTCAGCTCGACGGGTGGATCAAAAAAAGGGGGGGAGGGGGGTGGGGGGCGTGAAGGCGGGGGGGGGGCTCTCAGAGATGTGGGGAGTTGCTGTAGTCCATGTCAAGCATCGGTGTGGGCATGGGGACATTTAGGTAACATAATGTAACTCCTTTTCCAGGTGAAAAAGATGAACAACTGCTGGGAAGAGAGCCGGTTAGGTCTCCCAATCGGACCGGAAGCTTGGCTCCTCAGACGGCGCCACCAGAACAGTTCACCTTACGGCTCGCCCAGTGCTGCCCCGCCCCCGCTGGACGTGCACGAGTGGTTGCAGCACCCAGCACAACGATTCGATCGAGTCTCTTTGGGGGGGGAGGGTTTCAGGGGAGGCGGGGAAGGGTTCAAGTAACTATAGTGAGATCTGCAAGCCATGGCAGGGATGAAAAGCAGCTGTGAGTGGCGTTTGTCGTGTTCACACAGTTCGCTGACCCTTCGTTTGGTTTCCCCAGGACAATGTGATCGAGTTGAAGTTGTGCGTTGAAGGGCAGGCTCATCGTTTGAACTTCCTCATCTATGAGGTGCCTTGCGACCATGATGAATCAGAGCCCATCGTATCTCTAGCTATACAAGCATATAATTAGTATAATATATAATGTAATATGACCAGAACTCCTCGCCCTATAGTTTAGTAGGTTACTA